CCTGGATTATGGCAACAGCTTGTTAACTAGGATCCGTATTTTCAAATTCACACTAAGGATGTCTTCAGAATGAACATTCTAAAATGCAGATTTTCCCCAATCATTTGGATTGTGGGATTCTAAATGAAAAATAAATCTTTTTTTTTTCTATTTAGAACTTGTAAGTGGACCTCAGAATTAAGTACAAACTCTTTAATATGCCCTTCATGATGTCACCACTGCTCCCTTCTGAAGTATAATATAATTTTAGGTTAGAGGCCAGGTCCTCTGATCTCCAAATATTTGTTTTAGGTATTATGTACCTTGGGTGTTTTATTCTGCTCTTTTATTCTTTACTTTAGGTATTATGTCCCTCTACTCCACTAGAATGTGAACAATGGTGACAGAGACACTTGCTTCTGGCCACTGTTGCACCCCCACCTCCTAAGATCGCTTGGCATGTTCCAAATACCAATGAAATATTTGCTAAATGGATACTTTTGGGATATTAGTCAGATAGTTTTATAATTTTTGTTTATGATGATTTTATATGACTTTTTAATAAAAATATACAGTATGGTTTAAAATTAATTTAATTAAATGAAATATATACTGAGATAAAACTTACTAAAGTAAATTTTTTATCTGAATAGAAATAAATATCTATAAGTAAATGGCAAAATGTTACATGTCTATGATACTCAAATACATTTAATTTTGTAAAAAGTCCTTTTTGGAAACTTAGAGTATCTCTGCTTCTGTCCAGACCATAGTATTAGAATACCATGAGCTTCCCAACATTTTTCTCCTAATAATTTGCTAAACAAAGAATGAAAACAGGCTACAAACTAGATTTTCTTGTTAGCTCTAATTCTATTATTGTATTAATTAATACTCTGACCTTTTGAGAATATTTTTTTAAGATTTTATTTATTTATTCATGAGAGACAGAGAGAGAGAGAGAGAGAGAGAGAGAGAGAGAGAGAGGCAGAGACACAGGCAGAGGGAGAAACAGGCTCTATGCAGGGAGCCTGATGTGGGTCTTGATCCTGGCATGCCAGGATCACACCCTGGGCTGAAGGCAGGTGCTAAACCACTGAGCCACCCAGGGATGCCCTTGAGAGGATATTCAACAGCCTTTTTGAATCCTTTGTCTAAACAAGTCTAATTTTGTATCATTTCCTCAGTGGAGTGGTACAAAAAGTGAGTCTTCTTCAAATTTGTTGACAATATATCTTGATGATGGGGGTAAGAATTCACTACTGTACCTTGATGCAAGATACAAGTACCTAGAATAACTTCATAAGCAAGAAATTTAGATGAAATTTTAAAAATCCTTCCCTGTATTCATTTATTGCAATCCTCACTTTTTGTTTAACATGTTTCTTTGATAGGTATTGTTTATTAAACACATTCCAAGGAATTGATAACTTGTATCAATACTAAATACTTGTACATTGACTTACAGTTCATATTTCAATTTATAATTTGTAATCTCATTCAAAAATTTAATCATCAACTAATCCTGGAAGTAGATTTCATTTGTATCTGTTGTTCAGGTAAAGAAGCAGACTCAAATGTATTACCGTTTGCTCCAAATCCTTGCCTGGCTATCAAAAAATTGCATGTTCAATAGAGGTCATTCATACCTATATGTTGTGTGAAAATGGATGTTGTACTGATTTTTTAAATCAAAATAATAATAATCTAAGAATGACATTTAGTAAGCTGGCCCACACGTGCCTCCTTTTTTCGAAAAAGAAGTCATAGTTATTGATAGACACGAAATGATTATCTTTTTTCCCATGATTATCTTTAAAGTCAAATACTGTTTGTAGTTCCATAAAATGATTAAGTTGAAACTTATGAAACTGCCAATGTTTAATTATCTTTGCCCTAAAAATGCAAATTTTGTTTATTTCTACCTAACAATATATGATCTCTGTATTCATAATTTTCACTGGTATTCTTTTGTCTGAATCACGCTTTCCCCATTAATTCATATTTTTACTCACGTATTAGCTCATTTGCTTAATTCTACTTTGGAAAATCATTTCCTAAAATCATTAATACTCAGATTATTATCGTCTCCTTTTTTCCCTATCATTATTTTTGCTCTATATTTATTCTATAGAAATTATATTACTTATTTCTTTGTATGTCTCTATCTTTAATGAGACTTAGTTTTGTTTGCTTCTTGTATGCTACATCCTTTTGGGTATTTTTTTTATGCAAACTTCATGAACAAGAACAAAGTCTAGGGCTTGAACAGTGTGTCTAGGAGGAATAAAAAGTGGTTGCCAAGGGCTTGAGGGTGAGCGATATAGGGAAAGGTTGGTAAAAGAGTATAAACTTTCAATTATAAGATGAATAAAGTGTAAGGACCTAATGTATAGCATGATGACTATAGCTGATAAAACTCTTTGCATAAATTTGCTTAGAAAGTAAAACTTTAAAAAATGGTAAATATGTAAGGTGTTGGATATGGTAATTAATTGCATGGAAATAATCTTTTCACATGGTATGTGTATATCAAGTCATCATGATTTATATTTTAAACATTTTTCAATTTTGTTTTTCTCAATAAATCTGAAGAAAATGTGTTCTGGGGGCCACCTGCACTACTCATTTTACCCTGTGGTAGCCTCAGCTTGCATTTAAATTCTGACCCAGCCATTTTACTTACCTAAGATACTTAGGTGACTTGAGGCTTAATATAAGTAAATATAAAATAGGGACAATTTATGATAATATATAGAACAATCCCAGACCCTTAGGTGAGTCCCCATTGAGAAATGGTTACTCTTAGATTTTCTAGACTGTCACAATGTATTTCCATTATACATTTTAAAGTTTAATAAATGGAAAGTCACATGTAGTGGTTCAGAAAAAAAATAGATAAAACTTTACCCAGGACGAGGAATTTAGAAATCTGAGCTCTCGTAATTTGTCATAACATGGCCATTCTTTTTCTACTCCTCACTTTTTGATTTGTCTTTTGCTCCTCTCTTCAATGTATACAACAGTGATAGGCCCCTAGTAAGTAGATGTAAGAAAATAATTTAGAAATCTATTCAATGCAACAAGATTTTTTCTTAGAATTTTATTTGAAAATTAAAACAAAAATCTTTCCATTTTCCAATGAAAAGGAAAAATGTACATTCCTAGTCAAGACCTTTGTGTTCTTTAATATTGGTTCTTTTTTAGAAATTTGTGTTCTCAAGAGTAGTGTACGTGTTCAGGGTTACGTCAAAAGAATTAGTGAGACCTCCTCTGTGACTGATTCTATTTTGTCAGTGGCTTCCTATTTTTGTAAAAAATAGGGTTTTGTAAAAAAACCCATAAAGCACATATAAATTCAATTTATAAAGTAAATGTAAGTGGCCGTGTGTACATTAAAAGGGAGCCAGGATATTGAAACTTATGCATATTCACTTTACCTATATATATGTAGAGAGTAATTTAATTAAAATTATTTAAAATGTATATACAAAGCCACAATCTTAGCAGTGTTCTTAAGCCTCCATAGGCAAAAGGAAAACATTTATAACATTTAGTCTGATGCATGTATTTCATACAGAAAGTCAGGTAGTGAGATAAATTATGCTTTGTCTAAAAATCAAGACTGCATGTGTCAATAAGGTAAACACAGATTTTTACAATTTGCTATCAATCTTAATTACACAAGTATACATATAATGAAATTACATACAGTATTCAAGATACCATCTTATTTATGCAAATCCCAACAAGACTATACTTTTATGAAGAAAACACCTTAAGACATGTACTAACTGTATCACAAGCAGTTTGATGAGCTATGGCATACAAATCTAAAAATCATTCCTAAAAGTTAAGTATTAGTATCTCCAATTTTTTAAGAATAAAAAACTGGTAAGTGGCAAAGCTAGAATTCAAAATATCAGAGTTTCAGTCTCCCATCCTTCACCCTGGCTATTATGAAAATCCAAAATAAAAGCATTACCTGAATACAGTGCATGTTTATTATTGTAGGAATGGATTGAATGAAAATATGTCTTGTTAGATTATTTAATTAACACTATACGAGTGTAATTCAATTAGTAATGTGTTATAAGGAAAAAAAATCAATTCAGAAAAATAATGTATAAACTACATCAGTTGTACAAGACTATGCATATAGAGAGATACCTCTTCTTTGAAAGTATAACCTTATAAATTCGGGGTCTGTCATCTTGCAGACACATTGTTAAAAGCACTTTAATTCTAGAAAATTCAAAACAATAACTTCTATAATCAATTTAATTTCCAGAATTAATCACAGTCTCACTATGCGATCTTGACAGCATATCGCTTTTTTGACAAAAATGAACTACTTGACTGACACATTCATGTCTTGAAAGAAAAGAATTAGTTGTGAACTGATGTGTTCATAACTGTATTACTTCACTTTTTTATGCTCTGAAATAGGAATTTATTGGATATTGGATATGAAACACTTTTGCTATAATCTTTATGGAAAAGGAAATCATATACACTGCCCCTAAGCTCTAAATGCATTATTTCCTCAAATCAATTAAAAAATTAATTAGTTTAGCTAATACTTTAGTAAGACAATAAGTTTACCCCAGTTATGCTCTCAAGTGAGCAGGGAATATATCACTTCAACAAATAATAAGGGCTGCTATTCAGATAGGGAAGAGAGAGGGAAAAAGGAAGAAGGAGCAATTAAGCCCAGAGGATGGGAGGAAATCCTGATTTGTAGCAGCAGTATTTTGAGAACTTTTAACAAACTTCCATCCACCACCAAAATTTTATTACATAATATCAAAACACTCTTTTGAAAGGGGCAAGTAAACTTACTTTTCACCCGAGACAATATTTTAACATTCTCCCCAAATTTAAGTTATCCTGTGCACTATACATAAAAATTTTGGTAAAGCAATTTTGATAAAAGCTAATACTAATAATGATAATAATCTTTATAACAATAATTATATTCCTGAATCAAAAACCAAGCAACCTACTTCTATTTTTCCTAGGTGATTCAGACCATCAGTGCAGTGGATAGAGATGAATCTGTAGAAGATCATCATTTTTACTTTAATTTATCTGTGGAAGACACAAAGAACTCAAGTTTCATAATTATAGATAATGAAGGTAATGCCATTCACTCATAATGACTTCTGATCCTTTCTTTGAGAAATGTGCCTGATTTCAAAGGAAATTTTATAATGTTGCTTTTTATATGGTTCTTGTAATATGATAATGTTGAGAAATAGAGCAATAGTGGCAATGAAAATGGTAAACAAAACCCAAAGTCAAGTTCTGAAAATACTAACCCCATTTCTCACTGGATTTCTCTAAATTAGAAACACTTTTTCAAGTCATCAGTGGCTATAAGACCTTGCAAAAACTAAATGACCCTGCAAATACAATGGCAGTACTGACACTGTGGTTCCTTTCATGTCCTTGTAAAACTCAAACTTCAATCTATGTCTGGGGAAGAAAATGATATATACTTATAGTCATGTTAGCTTGATTGATTCACAGATATTTGGAGTCATTAATTAGAAGCTATAAATATATAAAATTGGTTTAAGATTATTCTCTTTCCTTCAAAATGAAATGATTATATCAATCCAAGGACACAGTGTTCCAAAGGATTCTGTGTGGAGAGACAGCATATCTTATCCTTCTATACAGAAGTGGATTGATTTTGCATAAAGCCACTCTGTTCTTTTTCCTTTCACTTCAGTAGAAGATTTTCTTGTCATCATATGGATCTGTTTTAATTTTACTTTGTATCTTAAAGATAAGAAACGCTATAAGATTTATTACTCAAGCATCCATAGCCAAATACCTGGTTCGATGTAGGGGAGATCTTTTGTGGGAGAATAAACGCAGACATGTTCTCTCCTTTTTCTCCTTGTCAAATTTCCCAGTGAAAAAAACTCAAATTTAGGATTAAAAAATGCAAATACCAATATAAGAAATAAATTGTAGCTTAGGTTTGTTTATGTTACTATAAGTTACTGGGACAAATTAAGTTTATTAAAACAAAAATAATTTAGTTTAATGTTTGTAATTAAAAGTAATCTGACAAAATATGAATGGAAAAATGTAAACTCTCTTATCTTTTTTTAAAAACTCTTATCTTTTCAATCTGTCTAGTAAATATAATCACAAGTTTTATAGGTTCCAAAGCATGATGGAGGATTTGTTTTAAAAAGATGATTTAGGAAAAGTGGTTAACAGGCACGCATTTTGAAACTTCATTTATTTGTGTTTTACTCTTTCTGTCTTCTAAGTTTTGATTGCTATGGAAAATTTGGGAGGCTATAACAATACAAAAAAAATGGAAATAAGGACTCTGGCACAAGAAATTACACTACAAAGTTACTTAGAATATTTTGGGATTCAGGGGAAAACAACTTCAAATGTGTCATATATTGTTCATCTTTGTTGATTTTTTTAAATGTTCTGCCTATATGAGTGGGGGTACTAAGGTTTAGCTGTTATCTGAATTTTAAATAGAAAATGGGTTAATAATGTCAAAGTAAAATGAAACATCTTAATAGAATTTTTCCTACCAAGCAAAACTCATTAGTAAATACATGATTTGAGATCACTTGCTGTGATATTGGTGGATGACAGAAAGTCTTGTGTATTTATGGTATTTGTGAAAAGAATGAGATTTTATTAGAAAAAGCATGTGTCATCGGTAAATAATCCAAATGAAATTCATACTGTCGTCATAAATTTAATATCAGTAGCCTCTATAAAATATTGAGATCTGATTACAAAGCTGTTTTCTATGCTCTACTTGCTGTTTTCTACCTTTATCAAAGGCGTTTTGGAACGGACTCACGTATTCATCTAATTATGTAATTAGGGTTAGGGCAATGCCAAACCAATAGAGAGTTTTTGAGTGGATCTTTTATCTTTTTATCAGAAATGTCTTTATTATTTAACCTTACTGGATATATTTATACTATTGCCTCTTATACATATGAGTTTCATTTATAATATTGAAAAATTATGCACATGGATTTTTGTTTTAGATAACACAGCTGTAATTTTGACTAATAGAACTGGTTTTAGCCTTCAAGAAGAGCCTGTCTTCTACATATCTGTCCTAATTGCGGACAATGGAATCCCATCACTTACAAGCACAAACACCCTTACCATACACATTTGTGACTGTGATGACTATGGCAGTACACAGACCTGCAGGGACAAGGACATTTTGCTTTCCATGGGATTCAGAACAGAAGTCATACTTGCAATTTTGATAAGCATTATGATAATATTTGGTAAGTAGTACCAAACTGAACCTAGCTACATTTACTGAAAATAATGTGATAAATATAAAAAATGTCAATTCCATTATCACAGCATGGAATGGGTTTTGCATGTGTGTGTGTTTAATTGCTCTTCTGAATGTGTTGCAATTCTTGAACCAGTGGAGTGAATGAAAAGTAGAGTGATCACGCATTTCAAGATGAAAATCAATGATCCTTGAATTCTGAATGTGTCAGCATGTGTGTGTATATTTGTTTAGAAATGTTTTTGACACTGCATTGCAGCAAATGCAGTTATATAACAACTAGTAATTAATAATGATAATAATAATAATAATAATAATAATAATAATAATAGCCTTCCGTGGAGTGCTCATGACACTCCAGGATACTGTCTTGAGTGTTTACATGCAACATGCGATTTGATCCTCACAATAATCTTATGGAGTGGTAACTACTATTGCCTGCATTGTATGAATGAAGAAAGTGAAACTCAAATAATTAAGTGGTCTACATAGGGTCATGCAGCTGGTACATGATGTATTAAATTTCCGTAACTGTACAACAGTCTATTCAACCCTATGCTGCAACTCACTAGAGCCCTAGGACCACTACAGAAGTTAACAGTCTGGAGGAATGCAAATGGAGGGTTTTTACTTGATCAAAGTGCTAACGACAAAGGAAACTTAAGAAAAATTGCTGTTTTTAAAAAAGATTTTACTTATTCATATATTTATTTATTTTAGAGAGAGGGAGTGCAAGAGAGGGGCCAGGGGAAGAGGGAGAGGGAGAAAACCTCAACCAGCACTGAGCACCTTTGGAGAAGGGCTGGATTTCACAGCTCTGAGATCATGACCTGAGCCAAATCAAGAGTTGACTGCTTAACCCATGGAGCCACTGAGGAGCCCCAGGCTTCGTTTTTGCTTATTTGTTGTTGTTTTCACAGGCAGATGTTATACTCATTTTACGGATGAGGCCAATGAACCCCAAAATGTTTTAGTCAGGCTTCCAAGACTACAAATAATTCATTTAGCATAACCTTTTCTCTTTATTTAACATACTAGTGTATACAATCCCATCACTTACAAGCCCCCTTACCTTCTCTTATAAGGGAAGCCTATCTTGCTTCCCTTATAACTTCATGTCAAAAGTCAACACAACTTTATTGAGTTTTCTCAGCCACTGTTTCTATAATCCCAAACTCATGCTCAAAATGGCATACATTTTTCAAGGATTGCTTTGCCTTCACTCTCATCTTTCTCAAAGCTTCAAAAGTCATGCATTCCTCTTTACTATCCGAATTACCATTCTTTCCTACCCAGCCTCAGTTTTTTTTTCTTTTTCTTTTTTTTTTTTTCAGCTTCAGTTTTTAAGATGATTTTTTCATGGCTTTTGATCATAAAAGAGAACATAGAGCTACATAGCTGGGTATCAGAATCAAGTGCAGTAAAAGCAGTGTAGTGTTTGGAGGATGACAAGTACTGATTTACTAATAAGTACAGACCTAAACCAAGTCCAAAAACCCTATGAGTAAACCAAGGACAGCTTCACAGTCAAGGGCAGGAATAAGATTTAGAGGGTGGAAAGTGTGGCTTGGCCGATAGTTTTCTTTGAAAGTGTCATGAATACTCTCTCCAATTCATAGATTGAAAAAATTATTTATTAGCTCCCTTTCTATATCAACCATATATCTGAGCTGAGTTTCACAGTACCTGGATTCAAACACAATGACCTTATTTCAAGAACACTAGTTCAATTTTTTAAAGGTAAGATTTATATAAAACATTGCCTAATGCATTTCTCTATATGATAATATTAATAACATCACTTCATGTCTCAGTTTCAGGTCCTATAGATTAAATTCATTCCAAGGCTATGAAAGGGTTGGCTGTTCCTGATACAGACAGACAGACACACACACATACACACACACACACACACACATACACATACACAATTTTCTCTAAAAATGGGGGGGTGCTTTGGAATCATTCTATTTCTATGTGGTATTAAAATTATCTTATGTAATGAATATTGTTTGTGGGCATACCAGTGTTATGATTTTAAAAAATGATGGTTTGGGCTTTCTGAAATTAATGTGGTATCACTGTGCACAGGTTCTAAACCAACTGTCTGGTGGCATATACTTGGTAGTCAATAAATATTAGCTTAGAAAATAATTTGCCTCAGTGGGGAATTTCAAACTGCTCTGTTGTGCTTAACTTCTCTTAACAGGGATTATTGGTTATTAACATTGAAAAATGCTTATGGATTGGAAAATTCTCCCTTATGCTCCTTTTATTTTTGTTTTCAATATGTAAAAAATAAAATTTTAAATTATCATCACGGGGATCCCTGGGTGGTGCAGTGGTTTGGCGCCTGCCTTTGGCCCAGGGCGCGATCCTGGAGACCCAGGATCGAATCCCACGTTGGGCTCCCGATGCATGGAGCCTGCTTCTCCCTCTGCCTGTGTCTCTGCCTCTCTCTCTCTCTCTCTCTCTCTCTCTGACTATCATAAATAAATAAATGAATAAATAAATAAATAAATAATTTTAAAAAATAAATTATCATCACAAAACAGTTCACTCTATTTTTATGATGTTTGTCTACTCTAAATCATCAGGCAGAAAGATTGCTATACTGCCTTGTCATTCTGCATGACCCTTTTGTAAATTTTCAACAGCCAATATTGTAATTAAGTTTTGGGGAGTTAAAAGTTATACAGGGATATTCCACTGTGCCAGGGATGATGCCCCCAACCCCTGCATTGTTCATGGTGGACAGTATGTTTTCTTTTTTCTTAAAATCATAAAATCTAAGCTCATGTCTTGAGCTTTTAACAAAAGCAAGGATTGTAAGGTTTGTTATAAGTAATATACAACATCTATAAATATAAACTTATATTAATATATTATGCTGTATTTATTATATTATGTTAATTCATATGCTCATATGCTTTCTTTGTCAGGGTTTATTTTTTTGATCCTGGGTCTGAAACAGCGAAGGAAGCCAACTCTATTTCCTGAGAAAGGTGAAGATTTCCGAGAGAATATATTCAGATACGATGATGAAGGGGGAGGAGAAGAAGATACAGAGGCCTTTGATATTGTCCAGCTGAGGAGTAGCACCATCATGCGGGAACGCAAGACACGGAAAACTGCTGCAGCAGAGATCAGGAGCCTGTACAGGCAATCTTTGCAGGTTGGCCCAGACAGTGCCATCTTCCGGAAATTCATTCTAGAGAAGCTGGAAGAAGCTAATACTGATCCTTGTGCCCCTCCTTTTGACTCCCTCCAAACCTACGCTTTTGAGGGAACAGGGTCATTAGCTGGATCCCTGAGCTCCTTAGGATCCGCAGTCTCTGATCAGGATGAAAATTATGATTACCTTAATGAATTGGGACCTCGCTTCAAAAGATTAGCATGCATGTTCGGTTCTGCTATGCAGTCAAATAATTAGGGCTTTTTTATTAGTAAAATTTTAAAAAATGTTAATATGTTTGGGCAAACTGGTAGTCTCTTGGTAAAGAGTTGTGTACTCCAGTTCTTGGGGTGGGGGGGAGGTGGATTATAGCATCTTCTGATTTCCTTGAAGTAAATGCCCTTTGTTTATTGCAAGCTACCCACATGTTGTCCCTGAGCGCAGGCGTGGAAGGATGCTAACAACCAGCTCTCCTGTGCCAGTGCAGGCCAACTCTGACATGTAGCAAATAGTCATCTAGCACTTTTTTCGCTACCATCCAATACAAATTCTCTGAATTTTTTAATTTTTCGTGTGAGAAAGGCCCTGAACTAGATCAACTTAATATTATTTCATTTAGCCATTTAAAAAAAAATCTTACAAAGTGAGAGGAAAGTGTTTATGTGTTTTAAGTTCCTGATACTATATGGAGATACACATCTAGGAAAATCTGGGTGATTCTATAAAACTTTTAAAAGCTGTTTTTTAATGAATAAGCAAGTTTCTGATTCAGATTCTATGATTCATAGTCTTTTGATATTTTAAAATCATTGTCAAGACCATACTTGAAAACTGATTTCAAATTTAGATAGATACTTGGTATGTGTTAATTAATCAAAGATACAGTGTAGATTTGTATTGTCTTTGATGTTACAGATTTGTATAAAAAAGGAGTATGAAAATGTGTCTGGGAGTGTTTTATGTTATTTTTTTATGTAACCAGAGTATATCTTCATCATTACAATGCAATAGCGAAATACGTGTCAAGGTTTACTCATCATTAAATTTAAACTTTATGATAATCATGGAAAGCATGAAAAATTTTAAGTAAATTTTTATTGCCACTAAAAAGATAGGAATAAATGAAAGAAGTATTTGATTCAAAGTTGAATTAATATTCATCCAAAATATTATGATCAACCATACTGATTCTTACCACACATAGAATAAAACATAAAATTCTCAGCATTTGTATTTTATTAAGAGCTTAGACTATAACTGATTCTTCACTGTCATTTTTTTTATTATGGGTTATAAAATTAGGTGCAATAGTTCCTTTTATTGTAGCATTATGAAGGAAGTATGCTAAGCTCCTGGACATGGTGAAATCCATGATAACATCCACATAACAAGCTTTATGATAACATCAGATAATAAGATAATAAAACACTTTAATTTTAATCAACATCTTAAGAATGATCTTTATTATTCTATCCAAATCAAAAAGGAATTCAAAATTCATAGGTTGAATGGAAAGAAAATGGCGAATACAATGTTCTCAGAATCGTTTTATATGTTCATTTCTTATTAGCAGCATGTGAAAATGAGCTGAACCAAATTGATCGTATAGGCTTAGATAAAATATTTTTAATAATTTTTATTTGAATAGCTACAGTATTTTTCCCCCTCTGTACTTTGAAACATAAATACCACATGTAATAGAAGAGAGGCTTTCCATCAATATCAATTCAGGTACCATTTTGTTGGCAACATAGGTATCATCACTTCACAACAGCCCAAGACTAGAAATACAACGATTTAGGAGGCTATTAAAGTTGATGAGAAGTCATAAGCTGTAGAAAATCCTTATGCATTCATACCATTATTTACTTAGGGAAGAGTAAGAATACTAAACCAAACAAATTGTTAAAAGAGAAACACTTGACAATAAAATAAAAATGTATGAATTGAGAGAATATCTATCACATTGACATAAAATTGAGAGTATAATTAGATATATTTTCAGGAATTATTCCATAAAGGATTATTCCCTGTATTTAAAAGATAGTGCTGTGTAATCTTGGTTGAAGAATTGGAAAGTATGATAAACAACAGATAAATCAATCCATGGAAAATAAATGAGAAAAACAGAAATAGGGTTTTCTGGGGACCTAGTAGGTTCTGTCATGAGTGAAAGCCTATGAACAACTTATCAATTTGGATAGACACTTTAAAAAATGCACATCTGCATCAGTGGGGTTTCAGGTTGGAGTCCAGTGACACTAAGCAGATGTGTTAAATTCTGACGGGATTGCTAATCACAGGTACATAGGAAAAGAACATAGTGGTTGCATATCTATTTGCTAGTTTAAAAAGTGTCCTTTTAAACTATATAAAAAATAGTATCTGAGTTTTGTATAGAAGATGCAATTTCATAAAAAGCATACTTGGTTATATTTCAATAACATTTGACCTTTTTGTAGTCGCTTGGGTGTTGCAAGAATGCAGCTATATCCTAAGCTAAAGGCATGACATTAAGATCTCATTTTTGTCAATTTCTAAATCAATGCAGATATTTATGAAAATAGCACAGCTTCATATTAACACCTGCAGTGCTTAAACATTACCCTTAGTTAATTCGCAGGTTTGTGTGTAAGTCTTGGATTACTAATGGTTGAAATAAGAAAATACTTCAAGTCCTTTAGGGGGATCAGAAACTGCTAGTGAAAATAGGTGTTCATCAAGCACTTGTGCTTGAGCCTACCAGCCCTGAGTGTGAATTAGTGCACTGTTGTTCGAGTACCTGTGTGAACTCTGTCAAACTGTCTACTCTTTGCAGATCTGAGTTTCTAATCTGTAAGACAAGGTCCAGGGAACCTAATTCACATGGTTGCAGTGATGAATTAGTCAAACAAGAAGCACAAGCAGTGCCTGATTCAATAAAGAACTACATCATGACGATGGCTGATGTTATTCCGCTGGAACATGCAGACTCCTTTTCCTTCTAGTCCCGAGTGATCTCCATGGCTTCACAGCATGTTTGTCATGCAAATCAACTTTCTGACCTGACATAGAAGGCCATGTAGTAATCTGTCCTTGCTCATTTCTGCATTCTTAACTCTTCCAGCCTCGTGCTCCAGGCCGGAAACAATCTGCCCCCAAACATTTCTCTTTTTCATTCCCTCACTTCATTCAGGTCTGCGATCAACTGTGATTTCCTCAAGAAGGCCTATCTGACCATTGTCTTACACTGTGGCCTTAGCTCTGCCCGTCTTGTATTGAAATCCCTTAGCCACCTGGCCTTACAACGTATATGTGCTTATTATTTTTTTACTTGTTGCATCTTTATCACTTATTAGAATGTAAACCCCAATGGGCAAGGAATCATCTCTCTTGTTCATTTGTTCTTGTCTAAGATTGTTTGTACCACATTAAGTGGACCAATAAATATTCCTTAATGTAACAATGAATCCCAATCTATTTTACCTGGTCGTGTATAGAAGCCATATTGAGTTTGGTTAAATAATCATATGGAATTAATATATTTTTCAAAATAGGTCATTGCTGGGTAGTTCTCGGGTACAATAAGATTTTCAAAACATATCTAGTAATTATAGAGTTTGGTATTCTTAGTAATTATAGAGTTTGGACATACTGGTATTATCCCCAGGGGTGAAAAAAGGTAATGACTTTAAACTGTTCCATCAAAACAGGTCCTATGGCAAATACTGTAGAAATTCACATGTGAAAAAGTTCCCAGGAAGTGTGATGAGTATGAAAACATGTGCAATGCATGAGAATTCCACTTCCTGTTTATAACACAAAACTTGGTAACAAATGCATTGTTAGATTTACAAGGCTACGCGAAACCTACAAACCACACTACACAGGTAAATTCATGTTCTTTTTTAATGACATAAGAGGACATTAGATAGCAAATACACTAATGGCTGGGACACAAATTAGAGAATTAAATGGAGGAAAAGAATATGTGTTTTTTTTGAATATGTGTTTTTTATATATATATTTCTGATTATGTCTGCCTATCTATCAATCATCTATGTATCTATTGGGATAAATTGTGATTTCTTGGAGGAAGGGAGACTAGCACTTCAATCGCACAGCAGATCCTTAGGACCTGTTAAAATGTGTTGCTACCTTCTTTCTTCTTTTCTTAGAGAACTCTGATGATGAGAAGCTGAAGAACTGTTCTGAAATGGTGGACAGAGAGGGCAGGAGCTGGACCAAATGCAGCTCATAGCTGTTGACAAGGCAAAGCTGCATGAGTTTCCCATAGATTAAGGAGGTTGCTGCTATAGAAATTTTGCACAGAGGGAAGAAGCTGAAAGGGAGCTTAAACTAGTCATCCAAAGAATATGTCACAGAGACTAAGGAAAAAAAGAGACCTCAAGTCCTTAAAATGTTTCCAGATACCCTCTCCATTAGCCCACAATAGAGTGCCAGCAGTCAGATGCCTGACATCTCGGAGGACTCTAGCTGTGGGATTATGGAAGCGCCAGACATGTTTATTGTGCCCCTTACCTCCGTCTTCAGACACTAGAGGTTCAGAAACAGCAGAATAAATGGGAAAGAGTGAGAGAGAGAGCCTTACATTGGATGTAAGGAAAAAGGATTTTAAAAAGTGTTTTTGACACTGACCGGAAGCTGTGCAAACTGTCTGGGACTTGGCCAAGGTGCGCATCAGAAAGATCAATGCAAATGTGTATAAAAACTGAATACTATAAAACATTTTCATGATATTTCTTTCAAGTTCAAATGAGTCAATAACCTGGATACATTAATATGTCAATTCAATTTGGAATTCCATATATTTTAAATGATTCAAAAATCAATTCTCGTCTAAAACCAGAAGCAAAATACAAAAAAAGTAAATGTAATTGATCATGTTCTTAAAACACTTGTGAGCACATGAAAACAGCTTACACAGTTTTATTTCACGTCATTCTTTTGTGCTTATTCATGTTCATATTTAAAATGTGATATGTTCTATTGAGTTCTGCAGTGCTAAGTGATTTATCTCAGCTATGCATAAGGCTGAACATTGAAAATACCTCATATTCATGCTTACATGCTTTCCTTCTAGAAAAGGAAGCTGATATATGTATTTACATATCTCCATAATATTATTACCTCACTTACATGCTAGTGAGAATAAGTGGCCTATGAAGTACATTTTTAATTGTTTTCCAGTTGCTAACATTTCTTTGTTGTGTAAACTTTGGTGAATAATTTAAAATGTTCTTTTTCAGTACTTTAATTTGTACAGTGGGGTATTAAAAATAATCAGACTCTCATAGGAAAGGTTAACTAAAATAATATATACGAAGAATTAATTATTCTCTAACATACAGAATGCATGACATTTTATCTGTTATTGTTAACAAAATATTTATTGTGATATTAAGTTTATCTTTAGAAATTCTCATAGACCAAGCTCATTACTCTACAATTAACATGGACAAGAAGAAAATGAATTAATGCAGGACAATAATTAGCTGGCTGTTACTTACCGTCTCCCCACCTTGACCCTTCCAGGGTAATGTTCCATTATTATCAAAGGAAAAAATTAATTGCTCAAGTAATGCATTATGTATGAGATGTTCTGATTGAAAGTCATCTCCCTATGACATGTATTTGGGGAGAAAACTCTGTTAAGTAATAACCACAGATCAGGGCAGTTTTTTCTAGGTATGGATATCTTAGGGGAAAAAAAAAACTATCAAAAAAGAAAAGGGTTTGTTCACTTGGTCACTAATACACAAATTAATTTATTTCTCTATTAGATTTACATGGAAGAAATAAAAGAAATATGCTAACAGCTCCAAAAGAAAGCTTTCAAACCAGTGGTTAATAACGTCTAAAGTTATTAATTTTATATTATAAAGTTCTAATTTTATATTAAGAGTTTAAAATTAAATTACAAAGCAGATTGTTCTCATCACCTC